AGTAAAACATTTTAATTAAATTTGCTGTTTTTAAAATATTTTCGACCGACTATGTATTTAATTTTCGGATAAAAATTTGGAAATTAATTAGGGTTTTATTAATTGGGAAATTTTGATTAATTTTTTTTAGATGAATGTCGAGGTTAGGATGACTTTCAGGTTCTAATTGATCTAAAAAAACTCAAGGGGTATACCCAGGAGGTAAACTTTTGGACCAGACAGCGCTAGATAGTAGAATGCACCCAAGGAGTATATCCAAGGGATGGACATGTATACTATCTAGTTCCCTAGTTTCACCCTCCCCTTTATTTATTATTGATAAATAACCAAAGATAAGGGCAGTGTATAATCTTACCCTTTACAAGAAAGCATATCACTTAGACCTTACATAGGAAAAGGATCTTTGATCTAAAATCAAAAGACCGCTTACTTTTACAGGTATAGCTTCAAAACAATCAAAATTATAAGTAAATCCCACTGAAGCTAGTTTAGACAAAGCATTGGTAACCGCATTGGCTTCCCTATAAATATGCTCCACTTTGCAATCTCCTCTTCATAGTAGACACTATCTCCTACATTTCAAAAAGATATCTCCATGGATAATTGGTTTCTTTAAGCATCATATCAACCACTAACTTACTATCCGTCTGTATTAGTACATGCTCAAGCTGAAGCTCTTCACATTTCCTAATACCACTAAGAAAATCATATATTTCCGCAGCCAAACTAAAACCTTCTCCCAAAGATTCAGTTCCTGCACAAATGAAACTTCCATGTTGTCCGCGCACCACATACCCAAAACCTGAATGACCCGGTGATCCAAGTGCGGAGCCATCTGAGTTCATGACAAAGCAATTAGGGTTTGGAGGCTTCCAATTAAGTATTTGGTCACGTTTCCTCCCCCTTGGCCGCATGACAAGGCCAAAAAGATCATATATCCTGGTTGATTCAACTACAGAAGAGACACATAATTCCCTAACTTTGAGCATGGATATTACATGATCATTCACCATATAAATGACTGTATTAAAATAAAATGGTGTATTTTGGAAGATATATCCATTCCTAGCTTTCCAAACCTCCCAAACAATGTATAAAGGAATAGACATAATCACCACTTTGAAAGAAGAAGAGCAATTCCCCAAGGACCACCAGGACTTGACATGATTCCATAACCCGAAGATAGTGGCAAAATGAGACCCATTTTAGAAGAAAAATGCTGCCAAATTTCCTTAACCACTTGGCAATCAAAGAAAATATGATCCATACTATCATTATTCAGTGAGCACATAGGGCACATAGTAGGCAAAGAAAATATACCCAAGTGACATATTACCTCAGGAAAAGGGAGGAGACGTTATATAATTTCCATGCGAAAACAGAAATTTTATGAGGTATAGGCCGATTCCAAACCTTCTCAATGACTACATCATGATTCGCAGCCCTTCGCATACTCTCATAAGCAGTTTTTATTGTAAATTCACCATTAATAGTTGGCTGCCAAACAAGGATGTCTTCATAACTAGAGAAATTGATTTCCAACTCCAAAAGTCTATCCACTACATTGTCCGAAAGATGATCATATAAGAGATGACCATGCTGCGCTCTCCTCTCAAAGAAGCCTCTAATTGTTAAATTTGACATTGGAGGATCAACATGAGATAAATCTAAAAGTACTCCAAATTCTGACCAATTAGAGAAACAAAAAGAACTATTTCCATTTTGCACCAACACCTTGGATTTTGAGGAGGTCTTAATCCGAATCTTCAAAACTCTTCTCCACATTGTAATCTTTCTTGAATGAGGGGATAAATAAAGAATAAATTTAATCCAAAGACCCATTCTATGCTCCATTTTCCACCAAAGCTTCGCAGAAAAGGCATCAATAACATCCCGAAACTTTCGCAACCCTAGTCCATTTTCCTTTGTAGGAAAAGTGAGTTTATCCCAAGATCTCCAATGCCTTTTAGCTCCTTCCTCCGAGTCACCCCCAGAGAAAACTTTCGCATTTAGCTTCCAAAGCAGCAATAATCGATTTTGGAGGATCTATGGCTGCCCATATATGAATAGGAATCGAAGCAAGCACATGCTTTATCAAGAGCAACCTCCCACCTTGAGAAAGCATTTTATTCTTCTAGTTGAGAAGTTTCCTATCCATCACATCCAGCATGTATTGAAAATAGGCTGCCTTCTTCTTGCCCTCAAAGACGCTACAACCCAAGTAAACAAAAGGAAAAGAACCGTGATCCATTCGAAGTGCAGTTTTAATTATTCCAACTCTAGAAGCATTGCATTTTTTAGAAACTAAGAAAAAACTCTTCTGTCTATTGATTTTCTGGCCCGAAGCAGCTTCATAATCCGAAAAGAAATTATTAAGCTCCCTCAATGAACATTTTAAACCCTTAGTGAAAACAACCAAATCATTAGCAAAACATAGATGTGATGGAGGTAAGGAACCAACTGGAGTGCCAAACTTCGCAATCTTCCCAATGTCTACTAGATGCTTCAACCTTCGAGTTAATGCTTCCGATACTAAGATGAATAAATAAGGTGATAAAGGATCACCTTGTTTATCCCCCTTGATGATTGAAAGAAACCAGTTGGGCAGCCATTTATCAGAACCGAAAACCAACTCCCCTTTAAATTGTTCATGATGAGCTCCACAAAAAGAATTGGCAAACCAAAAGCAACAAGCACCGCCTTTAAGAAATCCCAGGAGACCCTATCAAAGGCATTCATCATATCTATCTTCAATACAAAAATTATCACCCTCAGCCTTATGCTTCGAAATTGGCAATGGCCTTGAGTTAGGAGCACATTATTAATGATATCTTGCGCCGAAAGAAAAGCTGATTGTTCCTCCGAAATCAACTTATGCAAATACCTTTTAAGTCTCTTTGTAAGCACCTTCGTGAAGATTTTATTAGAGAAGTTGCACAAACTTATTGGCTGGAAATCTGCAAAAGTGGATACAACATTCTTTTTAGGAATCAAAGTAATCAATATACTTCTGAAAGCTCTAGGGAGAGAGACTCTTGCAAAGAACTCATTTCCAGCTTGTAGGAGATCACTTGATATTATATTCCAACAACTTTGATAGAACTCGCCTCCAAAACCACCCGGGCCAGGAGTACTATGAGAATCCAAACTGAAAATGGCTTCTTGAATCTCTTCCAAAGTGATACATTCCAACAACATTTGTTTATTCTCATTCGAAAGCAATGAAGGGACGTCGGATAACAATGAATCACGCGCAGCCATGTCACAACTTCCAGTTTCTTGAGTTAGCAAATTTTTAAAGAAAATCTCAGCTTCATTCTCAATATCGTGCGGCTGTTGCAACCATTGACCCGAAGTAGATTGAATTTTATGGATGCTCGATCTTATTCTTTTCTCCACAAGTGAAGCATGAAAAAAACCAGTGTTTGCATCTCCTTCGTTTAACCATTTAAGTCTCGTCTTTTGCCTCCAAAAATCATCTCGTTCCTTTAGCTTGAGAATCAAACGAGCTTTGGCTTCATTGAGTTTCATTCTATCTTTTTGACTTCTAGTGGAATCATAGACTAACTCCAAAGACCGCACCTCCTCCTCGGACAATTTGAGATTGTCAAATACATTACCAAAAGAGGTTTTATTCCACTCCTTGAGAGCAGCCTTTAACCTGCACAACTTTAAGGAAAAAGCATGCATGCCATAACCCACAATCGGTTGTTCCCAATTGACACGAACCACCTCCAAAAATCTGTCCGATTGAGCCACATATGCTGAAACCTAAACATTTTAGGTTTGCTGTCCACCTCTGTTGAAAAAGTATGCAAAATGGGACAGTGATCAGAGGGTGTTTTATTAAGAATCTGAATAGAAGAAACCGGAAAAGCCTCAAGCCATTTTTTAGAAAATAAAACACGGTCAAGTTTCTTGCTTATCCAACCCGATTGCCTTGTTCCTCCCCAAGTAAATTCCTCCCCGAGAGATGGTAATTCAGAGTGATTGCATGCTTCAATACATTCATTAAATTCATCCATCGCGCCCCTATCTTGTACAGAAAAGCCAGAATATTCTTCTAATGTTCGTATCACATTAAAATCTCCTCCCACCATCCATATTTCTCCTTGATACGCCTGATAGAAAGAAAAAAGATCCGCCCATAATTTGCCGACGCTCAATCTTTGTAGACTTGGCATAGACAACAGACACATAAATTTTGCTTGTCAAATGCAAATGAGAAACCTCCAAGTTCATCACCTACGGCTTATTCTCCAACACCCTAGAGGAAAAACCATTTCTACTAAAACACCAAATTTTATTAGTACAAGATGAGAAAGCAACCTCAAAGTTTAACATAACCCGAATCTCATCTATCTTATGAGCATCCACCGTAGGTTCTAACATAATCGAAATCAATTGAGTGCGTTTGAACCAATGACTTCAAACGTAATTGGGCAGCATTATTTCTAATTCCCCTAATATTCCAAATCAATTGATTTATCATCATTAAGAAATAAAATAAAGGGGAAAGAGTTTATGTAACCGAGCTGAACACCTTAAAACAAGGCCTTCTTGCATACTCAAACGTTCCTCCTTCGTCTTGTGACCTCACCTTTGCTTAACATCACAAAACCTTGGCTCATTTCATCCAACTGTGGGTCTTCCATCTCGCCTTCAGACCACCGTCCTCCTGTATCTGCCAGTTCCACTTCCTTTCCACTTTTAAGGGCAAAATTTTCTTTGTTCGAAGCATAGTGGATTAACTCCAGCGCCGCAATGTCAACCGGAGCATGAGGAGGGTCTGCTAAAACTACTTCTCCTTCATCGTCAGAACCAGCATCAGAAGCAACATCAACGGTCACATCATCTAATGAACCAGATAAAATCTCAAACCGATTTTTAGAGAGTTGCGCGACGGGAACACCTTGCGACTTTTCGACGATCTCAATCATCGGCTTATTAGGCAATGAACTTACCACATCCAAAATGTCATTCTGATTAACATGGTAAGGCTATGAAGTCTCCATAACATCAACTGGAATCATCGCCTTTTCAAAGGTTGTGAGTCCAGAAGTATTCGCGTTCCCAGGGTCTAGGGTTTGCATAGCCCGCGAGCAATCTATTTTTGCAGCATTCTCGTAGCCAGCTTCTAGGGTTTCCGCAACCTCTTTAGCAACAAGGTGAGAATGCACGTTTTCCATCTCAGAGGGTGGAGCCCTAATAATTAAGGGATTTGATTTTAAGATTTCCACCTCCAGACTAGAATCACCAACCAATCCACCCTCCCCAGAATCAACCCTCGCTGACTTTTGTGGCTTCCATTTTGGGGTTGGCTTCGACATTACAAAATTAACTTTCTTCAATTTTTGTTTTCCTTCCGCATTCGGCCTTGAAATTGTGGATTTCTCCTTGCGCATCCTATCCTTCATAGCCGATTGCAGATTTGGATTTTTCTTCTTACATTCTTCAATCTTATGGCCTATCTTGCAACAATGATGACAGTAAGAGGGCACGAACTCATACGTAAAAAGCTGCTCATACTTTCTTCCTTTCTTCCCTAGGTGAATGGACTTAGGAAGATCCTTCGTTAAGTCCACCTCAACACAAAAACGAGCCACAGAGGGCCGTGTGAGATTCAGTGTCAGAGCATCAACTCGCAAAGGAGTACCAACCGCCAAAGCCATCGAGAACAACACCTTTGGATGTGTCCATTCCAAAGGTAGCTCACGTAACGAAACCCATATTGGAACTGTCGGAGGATATTCTTCAAATTTGGAACCCGGGTGCCACTTTAAGATCCTAATTTGATAGCCACTAATACTCCAGAGAGAAGTAATCCAGCAGCGTTGATAGTCCTCCTCCAATTCAAATCGAATGAGGACATGGAGAGGGTTCATGAGTCCAAGAAAATATGAACCCTTGAACCCTAATTTTCGAAATTCATCTCTAAGTGTCTCTATTTTGGGGCGTCCATACGAGAACTTCCCAACAAGACTCATCTTGTGCGGCGCAATGAGCTCTTTAAACTCATCATCCTCAAACTCTAATTCAGGCATACCATTAAAGAAAGTGACTTGTTTGAATTCGTTTGGATTTGGAGCTCCACTACGGATCTCCTCGGGAATGTTGGTTCCCATTGGCTTATTCAAAAGACTCGCAAAGGACCGACTAGATCCTGTGGGGATCGTTGATAAAAAATTGGCCATGTTGTCCAGAAAAAGGTCAACAATGCTAGGGTTTGGCCGGCGAGAGAGAGGAAAAAGTTTTGTATATTGCCTAAAAACTATACCTATTTTTAATTGGAAAGTCCTTGTAGGAAAAGCCATCTTATGCCTATAAAAGGGGGTAACATGGCCGAGATTTTCATACATCCCAACCTCTAAAATTTCTTTTTGATCTTTGAGCTAAACTTTGCATAAGGTCTTAAGGTTGAAGGAGTAACTAAACCATCTCTTTTCTTCTTCTTTTCGAGAGTATCACCTCTTAAAAAGTGAAGGGAGTTCTTGTTAGTTAGTTTGGGGAGTGTCATTGTCGAATCTTCCTTTGATTCAAAGGGGAAGGATTTCTCGGATTTATTATAAAAAATCCAAGGGAGTTTTTCTAGTTTAGGTGATTATTTGCTCATCATCATGAGTGAAGAAGTTGCTAAATCGGAGGTGTGTTGTCCATGCCGTGAGATTGAGGAGAAACTGCGCCAATTGGAAGTTGCGGTGCAAGAGCTTGAAGAGATTAGCCTCAACAAAGAATGTGAGTTTTTCTATGGTCCAATCAATAAGTTTATTAACTAATTTTATCATGTAAAGAGGCATCTTGGTGATCTACATTGAGATTGTGAAGGTTTGAGGGAGGACATCTTCAAGAAGATCGAATCTATGCAACAAGATTTGATCCAATGTTTCATTGATGCAAATTGTCGCATGGATGCAATGAAGGATTCTGCGAGTGTTGGTAAGTTAAAGCTTGAAATTCTGACTTTCTACGGCGGGATTTGTGAAGGGGTGGAGTCTCGGGTTGTCTCTATTGAGAATTTGTTTGAATTGCTAGAAGTGACTAAGGATAGTGTTAAGATCTCTATTACTGTCCAAGGTTTGTGAAACATAGCTAAGAATTGGAGTGTGTTATACTTGCGTAATCTAAATGGAAGTGTGCATACTTGGTGTGAATTTAAAGGTGCAATATACAATAGGTTTTGGAATAGTGAGATTGCTTATGAAAGCCAAGCTGAATTGTATGAACTTGTTCAAGGGGACATGGATGTTGAGTCTTATATTACTAAGTTTGAGGAGTTGTGCTTGAACGGTGATAATCATGACTTAAATGAAGTGTTAGTTGTGAGATTCTTCAATGGCTTGAATTCTTGTTATAAAGATGACGTGTCTTTGATGAAAGAGAATGATTTATATCATGTTTTTCAAAGAGTTATGTTGTTGGAGTTGCGAAAGAATAAGGCTATTTGGAAGAAGTGTAACGATTCTTGGAAGGAACAAGGCGTTGCATTGAAATACACTTAGCATAGTGTGGAGTCAAACGTAGATCATGTCTTTCGGACTATATGTGCAATAGATTGGGTTGATAATTTGATTGTAGCTATCGATGGGTGTAGTAGCATCAATTAGTAGCATCAATTGTATAAGTGAGGAGTTAGTTAGAGTTAATCACTTGGAAGTGAATGACTTAAGTGAACCTTAAAAATTACGTTGGTTGCATGATGGATTGGAATTGAGCGTTACTCAAAGTGCTGAGGTGGATCTTCGCACTGGGGATCTTGTTACAAGTCAGTTGCTTGATATAGTACCTATGACGGCGTGTGACGTAGTCTTGGGAATACCTTTCATTAAGAAGGTGGAAATGGTCTTTGTTGGTTCATTGAATGTGTTTTCATATCGAGATCATGATAATAGGTTGGTGGAATTGAGATCATTATCACCTTGGGAGAGTGAGCATATCATGCTTGAGAGGCATGAGCTTACTAAAGAACTGTGCAAAGTGAAGGATTACAACAAAATAAAAAGGAAAGTACATTCGAGGAGGGTGAATCGAGTGGTGGTGTAGGATGAACACTCAACCCTAACCATGATTTATCTTTGTTTCATTTTGCAGGTAATAGTGTAAGTCTTGATTCGAGGATGAATCCATTTCAAGAAGAGAAGGATGATGAGAATCATATGGCTTCACATCAAAGTCAACATCAAATGAAGGAGCAAAAGGTGTTCTTGTCAGTTGGTGGACCGAGATTGTTTCCTTTTAAGAATAGAAGAAAGTTTGCTGTGAGAAGTTGGCCTTCTTTGAAGGAATTTTCACCAACACCTTCTAGTGGGAATATTGAGGTTGAAGAAGAATCGCTTAATCAATAGCAAGTGTCAGAGGAGTCTAGTGATGATTTCCCTTGCAATTGGAGTGATTCAAGTGATGGAGATTCAAGTAATGTCCACGAGATCGATGCAAGTGAGTTTGTTCCAAAGAGCAAGAGTCTTGAAGATGCACACTCAAGTGTGTAGAAGACATCAATTGGAGATGGAGCTTTGAATGGAGCCGCACGGTCCAAATAAAAAGAGGAAGAGAGCCACGCGGGTATTTATTTAAATATTTACTATTTTATTGAGTTCGTAAATAGATAAAAAGTTTAGTTACTTAAGTTAAATAAAATTAGGGTTTAAGAAGCTATTATGGCTGGCCCTAATCCTTATTTCATTAAGGGTATTTGAGTCTTTTTCCACTAAAAGAAGTAAAGTTAATTACTTTACTTGATGGTTAAGTTTAGTTAGAGTTTGAGTCAAAATTGACTACATCTTTCCTTGCTGTAAATTGGATCGAGTAGCTACTCATGTTTAACTCAATAACTCAATAAAATTAGGGTTACAGTGTTGACTTGAAATGTAATCTTTGTTCTATATTTCAAAGACTCTCTCTACCCTCTAGGAAGAAACGCTCTCACATCTCTCTAGGCCTATTGTCTGAAACCCTAACCTTGTCATGGCGGCCAATCGGCCACTGGATGATAACGGGCAGAAATTGCCCTCTTTTGCCCAAATTTTACACAGCTCAAAGACTAATCCGAGAAGTATCATCAATCCTTCTGGTAAGCAGCCATCTCCACCCCCCTCAATTCAGTCTAAACCATCAGTATACAAGGGAGAACCCGTGTTCCCTTTAACCAAAGAAGAGGATGAAACCCTCGCAGCCCCATTTAAGCTTTCCTTGGTTGGAAAATTTTCGAAAAGGAGGCCAAAAATGGACTTCCTATGGCATCAATTTCAAAAGATTGGATTCAAGGGAAGCTATTCGTTGGGTATGATAGATCATAGACATATTCATATTCTTTTTGATCTAGAAGAAGATTACCATCTATGTTGGATCAAGGGACTATGGTCTTTCGACCACCACATCATGCGTGTTTTAAAGTGGACTCCCCAATTCAATACAGAACATGAATCATCCATAGTTCCGGTATGGATTGCTTTTGAAGGTCTGCCACTTCATCGATTCAATGCGGAATACCTGAGTAAATTGGCAAGCATTGTTGGTACGCCGCTCAAAATAGATGTGCCGACACTGAATTTATCGCGTCCGTCGATTGCTCGAGTTTGCATCGAGGTTAATCTGCTCCACGAATTGCCGCAACGAGTACTGGTGGGGACAGAGGAGTACTCTTATTATCAAGATATCACTGACAAAAATTTACCGGAATATTGCTCGGAATGCAAAAAAGTGGGACATGGAATCAAGGATTGCCGTCGCGGGAAGCCCAAGGTTCAACCGATTCCGGCACCGAAAGCTCCTATGAAGGTGCCAGAAAAGATGAAAGCGCAGCATTTAGTTCCTCAAACCAACTGGAAACCAAAGACCCAAGCTAATGATAAAAGGGATACTCAGGTTAAATCGTCCTCTGATGCGTCTTCATCAGGATTGTCAACGAAGGAGAAAGGTGAAACCCTAATTGATATTTCAGAAAAAAGCCCCTTTATTCCTTCATCTGGGAAATGGCGCATCTCGAAAGAACAACTGGAAACTATTCTTGAAAACAGCAAGGAAGGAGACAAAGTTGATGCATGGGATGATCAGGAACAACAACATAAAATTGATCCGACGAACAACATTTGTAAACAGCTCGCTGTTTACATTCCACAGGTGGACTTGTCATCACGCATTGACGTTTTGGATGATTTGAAGGAGGATAATGGTGAAGCGGAAGGACATATGGGAAGGTTCAATTCTGAGGATAATATGGATGATGAGCGTGCCAAAGAGACGGTAACATCGGTGGTAGAATCTGACTCGGATTTGGATGAGGTTGCGGAGGAAATATGAATAAAGGATGATTCGGTGCTTGTATATAATTCCAGTATGGAAACATGTGAGCTTGATCGCCTTCTGGTTTCTGATGATGAGGGGAATGGCAAACCTAGAGTTGGTCGACCAAAAGGATCTACGAAAAAGAAGACGGTCCAAACAACCGAAACTTGTAAATCTACGAGACTCAATGGCGGATCATCTCCTAAGTTTTCCAATGAATAATCAATTAATATGGAATATACACGGAGTTGGGAGCAAGGCATCTCGACGACGTTTTAGGAATTTGGTTAGGCAGTATTTTATTTCTTTTGTAATTTTATTAGAACCTATGTTACCGGATTCAAAAATTGAAGTCCTAAAAAATCAGCTTGGTTTTAAAGACGTATATGCTTCAGAAAATGGGTAGATTTGGATTCTTTGTTCATCAGATTGGGAGTCACAATTGCTGGAAGGATCAGACCAATCCCTTCATTTGGAAGTTGAGAATCATAAGATTGGCCAAAAAGTGTTGGTTTCAGCAATCTATGCAAGGTCAACAAGGCAAGAACGACAGGCTTTATGGACAGAATTACAAGAGTTTCATGATCGAAATGCTGGAATTCCATGGATGGTCGGAGGCAATTTTAATGTAATCAGGAATATGGAAGAGTACCATGGGAATTCACAGCCAGATAGAGGAGCAATGGAAGATTTTAACTCGTGAATAAGTAGCTGTAATCTAACCGATTTGTCTCCTATCGGCAGTCTCTTCACTTGGTCTGGTAATCGGCAAAATGGCAGAGTTAAGAAAAGGCTGGACCGCATTTTGTTTAATCCGGAATGGATGGCTCTTTTTCAGATTTCTTCGTTGCATCATCTTAATCGAACCACTTCAGACATGCGCCCTTACTTCATCAATTCTAGGCCAATGTTGCAACGAAACCAATTATTTTCCGGTTCCAAAAGATGTGGATTCTTCATGAAAATTTTTTAGACATGGTAAAGGAATGCTGGGAACAACCACTTGATATGTTTGGTATGGCGAAATTCTCCATGAAACTAAGGAGATTGAAGGAGCGACTGAAGGTTTGGAATAAGAGTGACTTCGGAGACATTTTCCAAAACATAAAAGATACGGAAAATGAAGTTCAAATTAGGGAGGGGATCTATGATCAGACTAGTGCAGTAGAGGACAGAATTGAGCTTCAGAAATCAAAGGCTCACTTATTGCTAAAACTCCGAGGGCAAGATGATTTTTTACAGCAACGATCGAAGCAGAAATGGCTTCGTGAGGGAGATACTAACTCCGCTTTCTTCCACGTGTCTATGATTGAAAGGAAAACTCGGCTGGGAATTCACAAAATTAGAGATCAATCGGGATCATGGTTGATGCGGAGGGACGAAATTGAAGAAGAAGCTGTCTCTTTTTTTAAGCAACTTATAACAAAAGAGGAGATGGATGATCAGGAGGAAGCAAGTAATAGATTGTTGATGAATATTCCTGCAATTGTTCGCCGTGAGGACAATCAATCTCTTTTAAAGCCGGTAACAATTCAGGAACTCAAGGAGGTAGTTTTTGGTCTTGATCCTTCAAGCGCTCCAGGGATTGACGGTTTTGGAGGAGACTTCTATCGTCATTGCTGGCAGATAATACATCAGGATCTCATGGAAGCTTGTTTGGAATTTATGCATGGCATCCCTTTACCGAGAGCAATTGGAAGCACCATAATCACATTGTAGTTAACGGAACGTCTAAAAAGTGTACTTCCGTCTTTGATTTCTGAAGAGCAATCAGCCTTTTTGCCTGGAAGAGATATAATTGATAATATTCTCATGACAAAAGACCTTTTGCAATTCCTGGATCATCCAGCTCGAGGTGGAAAACTTATTTTAAAGCTTGACATGATGAAGGCGTTTGATCGGATCTCTTGGGGCTTTTTGCGCCACATTCTCTTGAAGTTTGGGTTTCATGGGCATTTTGTGAGATTGGTCATGTCAAATTTAGAACGAAGCTGGTTTTCTATTCTCTTGAACGGGAGTCCAGTAGGGTTTTTTCAGGCATCCAGAGGAATTAAACAAGGCGATCCTCTTCGCCTTATTTATTTATCTTGGTGTCAGAGGCGCTTACTAGAAATCTTAAAATTCTCACAGAAAAAGGACGGATTGCATTGTATGGAGTGCCGGCTGAGCAATAATACCGTCTCATCTAAGTTTTGCTGATGATCTTATTGTTTTTACAAAAGGGCTAACACATTCTATGCAGCATTTGAACTCTTTTTTGCAGGATTATGAAGCAGCTATGGGACAACAAACTAACAAACAGAAAAGTTATTTTTATGTTTCAGATAAAAGTACCATGGAACATGTTCATTCGGTGTCTCAAACGCTTCAAATGCCACAGGGAAGTCTACATTCACTTACTTGGGTTGTAAGCTTTACAAAGGAAGGAAGAAAAAAGAGTATTCTCAGCATCTGTTAGAAGCTTTTGATGCAAAGTTGTTAAACTGGAAGAACAAGTTTTTATCGCGATGAGGGAAGTTGATCTGACTTCGACATGTTCTTTCTGCATTGCCAATACATACATTGGCTGCCATTGAGCCTCCTAAGATGATAATTGCTGCCCTTGAACGCAAATGCCACAATTTTTTGTGGGGCGAAACCGAAGAGGGGAATAAGAAGCATTGGCGTGCTTGGTGCCATCTAACAGCTCCAGTTGCTGAAAATGGGCTGAATATAAGGAATCTGAGGGATGTTATGAAAGCTTTCTCCTTAAAACTGTGGTGGACGGTGGTGACTTCAAAAGGAATTTGGGCGCGTTTTATTAGTTCTTTATCAAATACGGCAAAAGGGAGGACAAGTTGGTCCAGAATTCAGCGCGTAAATCACTTAGCGTTGATGAGATCAAAAATGGAGATTAGAGATGGATCATCATCCTTTTGGTTTGACAGATGGATTTCGCCCTCCGCAATTTGGAATGAAGAACATATGCCACCTGCTTTAAATCTAACAGTCCGAGAGTTTTTTCACTCTAATCTTTTTTCTTGCGCGTAAATCTTTTTTCTCAATTTGGGATATGTTTTGCGGGGTGATAACCGGCTAATTATTGCAGCTGAAAGCAGATATATGGGCATAACAACAAGTCTAGAAGCAGAACTTGCAGGGATATATCATGGTCTAAAAGCTTGCTTGGAGAAAGGACTACTACGAATTAAGGTGCAAACGGACAATAAGGTAATCGCACTTTGTCTCCAAAAAGGAATGAGTTTTCCATGGAAAATTCTCTCATGTTTTCCGAGAAATAAAATACATGTTGAGCCTATCACATTCAAGAATTATTCATATTTTTCGAGAGGCAAATAGTGTGGCAGATGATCTTGCTAAGAGGGCTTCTGAGGGAGCCACTAGGAAATATTATTGTCCATTAGACACTCCAGTCTCAGTAAGAGGGAAAGCTCATTTGGATAGACTATCTGTTCCCTATCTCGGATTCCAATAGCTAGGGTTTTAGTCACCTTAGGAAGAAAAAAAAAGGGTTAGATAGTCTCTAGATCTTCAGGAAACCTAGATGGAGTTGTCAGGGGATTTATGTTTCTAATCTTTGTAAGTCAAGCTCTTAGGAACCTAGATAGGAAAAGTGAACTGTCAGGGGATTATAGTTTTATCTTTGTAAGATAGTTCCTAGTGTAATTGCACAAGAATCGTCATGGGTTTTAATAGAAAAATTTGTAAGACGGTTCTTTTTCGTTTGGGTAAGTCTTAAGCATTGCCTTCTATAACTTTTGCTTTTAATTAATAAAATCGGGGTCCTCCCGCCAGGTACCGCCCTGGATTCTCCTAAAAAAAAAGAAAATAATAATAATAAAATTAGGGTTTAAGAAGCTATTATGGCCGGCCCTAATCCTTATTTCATTAAGGGTATTTGATCCTTTTGCCATTAAAAGAAGTAAAGCTATTTAATTTGCTTGATGGTTAAGTTTAGTTAGAGTTTGAGTCAAAATTGACAATGTCTTTCATTTCTGTGAATTGGATCGAGTAGTACAAGGAAAGTATAGTTTCTTTAGGCTAAAGTAAAGCCTAAATTCTAGGGTTTGTATCTTGGAGAGCAAGAAAAGCTTGTCTCTAAATAGGTGGCCGAATTCTCTCAAAAATAAGTTGTAAGAGTTATGAGTTATTAATCGAAACTATTAGTTTTGAACCATTTGTGGTTTTTTGTAAACAATAAGCATTTCTTATTGTTTTGAAGGAGAAACATGGTTAGTTCTTTTTTTCGTTCTTAGAGCCTAACATATGACTTGGTTCTTAGAGTAAACCATTTTATCAGGATTTATGTGTTGCACCATTTCGTAAACAATATTTATTAAGTTAAACATGAGTAGCTAACTCAATTAAGGGTTCAATCCCTACTATCTTTATGTGAAGGTTTTGATTCAGTTTTCTTTGATGAGGCATTGTTTCTAGTTTAAGTGCTTTAATTAACTTTTTAATTAAACTGGGCACTTAATTGAATGTGCCTGCATGTTATGGAGACCTGAGAGGGCAAACATAACTAGAACATCTTAAATTAGTCTATAACAAAGGAGGAAATCTACTCTTTGGTTTCAATCATCAACGAGAGTTAGGTGATTGACATAGATGATCAATAGGCTTTAAGAACTCAATGGCCAAGATTAATCTCAATAATCTGAATGAGAGATAGATCATTTAGTAATCTATGACTCTTTACTCTGTCTGAGAGGAATCGTAAAAAATACATGTTCCCGATCAAACAATAAATCATACACTAAAGATTACTTGAATCAAAACTGGATCATAAAGGGAGGAAGGTGATTGACCCTTCTGTCACTTTACTCTGTCAAGTGACTATTCTCACTCTCCCAAGTGACAAATCTGTTCATCTCTTTTATTTTCTTTTTCTTGCACTTTAATCAAATTTTGAGTGGTTGACTGTCATCTCTGTGGAACGACCCTACTTACCACTAGCTAATAGTTTTAAGTAGGTTTTATAAATATTCTTTTGGGGTTGAAATCAATGACAG